AAATTCTCATTTATTAAAAGTACAAGGGAATTAAAATCTATTTGTGATGTAAATTATTCACTTGTAGATATTAATATTAAAATATTTATGTTATAAATCAGGTTAAAAATAACATAAATTTAAACGTATATGCAAAGGAATTGATTAGTTATTAAAAGAGATTTAACAGCTGTAAATGCAATTACATTCACTTCATCGTACCTCCTCCTATAGCCGTCACAAGAGTTTATGCAACGCCTTAAGGTGGGAACACACTACATCAATTTGAATAGCATTAAAATAATATTTACGTGAGTCATATTTTAACTAACAGCTTTTTAATATTCTTCGTGTGATGAAAAACAGTAATTTTTAATATTTCTATTAAGTACATACTTAGAATTTATTAACAAATATTTACATGTTGAATAAAAAAACTTAATTAGTAGCCTATGTGTTTTTCTACACTATATTCTACATCAATGCCAAATTTCAGCGAGACCCATACAGTCAACAACATCCATCCATCCATCCAAATATACGTATTGATAATGTTAGGAAGACTAATATATAAAATTTTTACTAGTCTTCCTAATATTATAAATTTTATCATCACTCATCTATACAACAACAACGAACATAATATTTAGACATTTCTGAGTACGCTGTTTTTTATACATGTCTATTCTTTCGACCGTTGTAGTCGGGACTCACCTTTATATCCGACTCGTCGACGGGACTTTGTTCTCTCCATAGCGTTTTTAATTGTCATTTATTGCGTTTTACTGCGCGAGTTATTGATTGTTATTAATAAAAGCTTATTGGCGATAATGTTAACGAGCTGCAGGAATCAGTTCTGACCTGAGAACTGACCGGTGATTGAGCCCTTCAAGGTCAAATATGCTTTGAATGGGAAAGTTCAAAACTCAATACCTTTTGTTGTTTGCAGTAATTTAACTATTTACTTAAAATCGTCGTTCATTATTCCGTTTCTTTTTTAATAAAGCTTTTTCTCCACATTAATTTCATTTAATGTTATTAACAAGGAAACTTGAAAGCCGAAGCGGTTTGTTTAGTAACTTCCTGTTCGCACAGCCTGTCGTAGGATAGTCTGTCCTCAGCTTTATTTTTAAACAGTTACAACTTGACGCCTTAAAAAGCAAGCATGCCACTTCCTTGAAAACCGATAACGAATCTACTGTTTCTTTGGTGTTGTAGATATTCATGAGAGTCGGTGACTTCTTTTTAAAAGGCTTAGATGTTTGCTCCCTTCTTTCATAAATAAATTATTAAAATTATACGTTTCTACAGCTCTTTTTGGAGACAGTTAAATAGTAGTTTAGCCCATTATTAGCATGGAACATAAAATAGGTCACAGTTTTTAAAAAACTTAACATTATGAGTATTGATGTCATGTTTTACACAACTCAATATAAAATAGATTGATGTTGGTACGTGGGCCGCAGCATTTACGATATGTTTTATGACATCATTTAGTCATTACATATAATAATATATATTAAACAGTTTATTGTATACCCCTCCCTGCAGCGTCGCAACAAATATATCCTTTTCAATACATTTTTAATGTAACATCAGAATCAAATCATTTATTGACACGATGAAGTTGTTATGTTTACAAGCAATTCATTTAGTTTTGTGATATATTTTATATGTTTTAGACATTTATAAGAGGTAAATTAATCTTTGTTCTGTCTAATCTCGCAGTATTCAATTCAGTAGGGCTAAACAAAGTGTATTCGCTCGAAAGCGATTCCATAAGAAACTTCAAAGATTTATAGAATTGACATAACTTTCGATAAGTCACGTGATTGTCGCGCCTCAGTTTCATTCATTTTTAAATTTCGGTACTGAATCGCTTCATAGCGAATGCACTTTGTCCAAACCCTCTGATGAATGATGAAGTAAACATCACAAGTGTGTTATCTTCTTTACAATCAAAAATAGGATCTTCAATTAAATTGGAATGTAGTATTGAAATAAGTCGGTTTGTCCAGTTTGTGTTTTTATCGGGACATCTAACCTAAACATGATTTGTTTTACGACGTCATTGTTTTAGACGCGCCATCTGTCGGGCGCGCGACATAATTTATAGTGCATCTCTGGCAATAAAGCTGTTTATTATTGACGTGTTTTACTGGACTTGTTTACTGTCCTACAATAAAGTTAAATGTTAGAGCATTGATTTCTGATCGGTCACAGATCACAATCCTATTAACTTCGAGCTTCGTTTGTCAATTTTATTGATACAAACCTAGAGAGATTTTAAAGTTTGATTACATGTTATATGAAACACGCATCAGTAAAATAAAGGTATCATTGTTTTTAAAATATCTTGTTTCTAGTAAACTGTAATCTCTCAATAGTTAAACTGATATAAAAACGGCTAAACACTCATTGGTACTGGTATTACCACTCATCCTGATGAAGGGCCCCCGATGGGCTCGAAACTAGTCGGTGCCGCCACCGGACGAATATACGTGAGTGTTTAGCCGTGTTTATATATCAGTTTAGTATAATGTCACACGAAAGTTTGAATAACTCTCAATAGTTGTATGAAGTCAAGTCAATTTAATATTTGTTTTTCTGGATCGTAGCTTTGTCCACATTTTTCTTTTTCAACGAATTCCTTGAATCCAGAGTGTAGGTTTGGATTGTTTAGATTGGATTTATTATCCTTGTGTCCGCGGGCGACCATCGTATTGTGACTGCGTAAATCAATCGAGGGACAGACAGAAAGACGGATCAATTTCGATGCGCCGTAGTACTTAAGGTAAATCAGACTGTAAATGAGATTTAATTAAAATTATTTCATAACGTAAGCGTATTTGTTTTTAAATCAACTCAGTGTCATCATGTTACTTAATTTTTTTTAAATATATTAGAATTTTATAGTTTATCACAAGTCAGTAAATCTATGTGTGTGCATTCCTTAGTATTGGCCTCCATAGTGAAGGCGGTCGCGTCGTGTGCTCGCTGGGACATTATACCGCGCTTTTATTTACATTTTATAGCTCCTATCCATCCGTTTTATTAAGACATTCGTATCTCTAGTCATTCCAATTAATTTCCCTTAATTGAGCTCTTAATCATATTGATCACATCGCTTAATGTTGTATCGCATTAAAGTGTGTGTTATGTGCATCGTGTGCTGTCAGAAACTTATAAGACCTACAGCAAATACAATTAATTTAATTCTTAAGGAAATAGGGGAATGTTATTACTTTACCTTTTTACATTAAAATACTGTTAAATGAAATAATAACGACATAGTATTTTTTAATTTATATGTGTTTTTTTTCCATCGACATATATCAAAGGTTCCTCTTGTTACAAACGTTATGAGACATGAAAAGAGTACGCTACATATCAGCGTGCACATATTTAACCATCTCCGCTAAAGCCTTGGCGTCCCCCCGCAAGCCCCGACATCCCCCGGCCTCGGGAAATCACACCCGACCAAATTGCGTAACACTCTTCGCCCCCAGTTTAAAATGGAGTCATAAATAAAAGGTACCTAGACGCCGCACCTTATCGCTTGCGGCCCGCGCCCCGAGCCACAACAAATGAAAGAATACCCTCC